AAAATGAATATAAATTTATAATATACATTTTATTGTAAAAAAGACGATAATTTTTATTTGATCACCTAAAAGTTGTATAGTTATATTCTTTTCAGTAAGAATAAGCAGATTCACAAGAAGATAGTAAATGTTTTAACTATCTGGCTGTCGTCAACAACACGGTAAGTCAAGTTATTCAAATTCCATATTTCAATACAGATGAGTGAGATTCAAAATCATTTTTTCATTAATTTCTGAATTAAAGTAATTCTGGCGCCTACAGATTTGCGCTTTTTAAAAATCTACATATATTAAATACTAGCTGCTCCGACACACGGAAAAAACTAAATTTTTATGACAACGCAAAAATTACAATTTCCGATTATAAATGACTAAATTTGTCGTAGAAATAGTAGAATTTAGTAGAACTTCTAATATTCTCAATTTTGACATGCTTGTTTAAAAATTATTTCAAGTTTCTTAATTTTTACAATTAAAATTATATCAACTAAAATACTTAGTAAATTTATTTCTGCTGGGTTTTTATGTTTACAAATTCGAGTCCAAATTGTAATTTCTATTATTTTCGCTTACGAAGCAACGGGATAGTGGGATAAATTGTAAATATCGTTTTAATATTTAGATAACTTTTCCTTTAAAGAAATAAGACGTATTTCAGAGTGGTCAATTTGTTTATAAATTTAATATCTCAATAATAAAAAACAATTACTTACAAAAACAAAAATTCAAAAACAACCAAGAACCATAAAGGACGAAATGATGACAAGTAGTACGTCAGTAATACTATTTTCTTTGATAACATGCGAACTCTTTTTTTTTATTAGAATTTTATTTTGGGCAGGCATAAATTAATATCCGTACAGCCTAATCAACCTGAAGATATAATGAAGAAAATCCTAACGCACGTTTGTTAAGTTTTGATTGACGTCAAATGTTTGGCATTTGGGGACAGATGTTTTAATTTACTCTGCTTTGTAAAGGAAAAGAAAAGTGAGATTTTTAAGTTTTTCTGGACAATTTTTCTCTTTATAAAAACCTTCGTCGAACTTCAAGGAGTATTAAAAAAAATATGGAAATTGGTCAAGCCGTTCTCTAGTTTTACGCTTAATAGCAACACATTGAGTGATCCATTTTTATTTATATAGATTTGTTCCATTTAAGAAATTCAATGAAGGGCACACTTCATATACATAATCAGCCCAATTTTTCGCCAAAAATCAAGTTTAGATGTAAGATAATCCCCATAATACTCAATTATTTCGAATTAGCATTTTTGTTGTATTACTCTTTTATTTTCATTCATTTAGTATATTACTCATTTAAATCAATTTATAAGGCGCTGTTTCTTGAAATATATATGTATCCCTTAAATTACCACCTAATATTATTTCTTTAAACGATCTATACATAATTAAAAAGCACAAAAAACGTGTACGGTATAAAAACATGATCTCATTTTTAATTTTTACAATTTAACTTCAGTATTATAAATTATAACATTAGTACGTCTTTGTGTGTTGTTATCTGTGATAAACGTTAAAGCACGTCAAGGAAATCGTGACCTTCGATATCGTCCTGACTCGTTTTTGTTCGGCATTCTATCCTTTCACGAAACAGCTTTCAGTTGCTAAAATTACGTGGAATCGAGTGCACGTCTAATTATCTTCCGTTTAAATAATAGACTTTGTTCATACGGAGTATTTTAATTGAAGTTTGTTTTAAATGAGTGCTTGTAAAACTACCTATGTACATTCACGGAAATTCACATTCAAGGCATCGAAGGATGAAGAAGGATACCGGTAGGTAACATACCAATTGATAATTGTCCTAGTTTTATCTAGATGGATTTATCAGAAATTTAACTAAAAGTAAGACTAAAATTGTAATGTTTCATTATTTATACTTAAAGTAGGAAGATGAGGGTTACAACATGGAAACAGGTGGTACAGCGTAGAAATTTGGTTTATATATAAATAATGAAACTTTACAATTAGTTACAAAATCTGTACTCTTGAGAATGACTGAATAGGTCGAAACAATTGTCTGTTGTATTATTCTTTTATTTTAATATTCAATATGGTTTTTCAAGTGCCATCTGCAATAGTCTTAGATACTCAATAATGTTTGTCATGGCAATACGTCGTAAACAAACTGCTGTTTAAAAGGTTTTATTACACTTGTTTTCACTGTTGTGCAAATTTGATCATATGTATATATCGTGTATATTCGTACCAGGGACCGTCTAAATGTAAATTAATTCGCAAGCATGGTAGGTACTTTTTGTTCTCACGCGTTGCTACTAGAGATGTGCAAAATGGTTTTTTAAAAGTATTTAAATACAAAATGCAAATACTTTTTTGATTTGTTATTTCAAATGTAAATTACAAGATAGATTTCTCTTTTGTATTTTAAATGCTAAATGCACAATATATATTTTCAAAATAATATTTTCAATTAAATTCTGTATTGTAGTACCTATTTAANTAAATATTGCAGTTTTTCTAGACCAATAGTGGTGCTTGCATTATATCACCAACTGCGAAGATTGAGTACGATTCATATTTCTCTGTTAAAAGTGATTGAGATATATTTTTTTTAACTTTATGTTACACTTTCTTCAGTTCAGCAACAAATATTTCTTTTATATGCTTCCTTATTTGCCTTTGTTATCCGTTTTAATTGGAAAAAAGACAATGATGACAAAATAGTTTGCTTAGGGTGAAAGATCAGAGCCAAAATAGGGTTGTAAATAGTTTCATTGATGTAAAATCAACATGAATCATTTTGTATCAAAAATTTACAACCCCATTTTGTTTTTCATCTGTTACACATTATAATAAGAGAAATAATTGGAATCCTTAGTTTCTTTAGCTTTGGATTTTTCTAGACTAATAGTAGTGTTTGCATTATATAACCAGCTGCGAAGATTGTGTATGATTCATATTTTGCTGTTTGAACTGAGTGAGATATATTTTTTTATCTTTATGTTATAGTTTCTTCAGTTCAGCAAGAAATAATTTTTCTATTTGTTTCTTGATTTATCTTTGTCATCCGTTTTAATTGGAAAAAAGACATTGATGTCAGAATAGTTACCGTGAAAGATCAAAACCAAAATAGGGTTGCAAATAATTTTATTGATGTAAAATCAACATCACTCATTTTATATCAAAATATTTACAACCCCATTTTGTTTCCCATCTTTACACATTGTAATGAGAGAAAAAAATTGAATCCGTAGTTTTTTTAGCTTTAGGTCCATCTAATAAGTGAAGTTTTTTTAATCGTTTTCTAAGACTTTTGGATTGTATGTATTTATTAGCACACCACAATATCTTGTAGTTCTCAGTTTTGCATAGCTGGCGTATATCAATTCGATATTATTTTGGGGGCTGTTTTGTCGTAATTCATAGAATTTCGTAGTTTCTTGCTAAAGGTATGATATGTAGTGATTTGAAGCTTCAAAATTCCATGGGTCATGACACTGAACCCGGAAAACAATATAGATCCAATATTTTAGATTTTCCATTTCGAAGGAGTAGAATATTTTGGGCTCTCTTCAATTAAAGAATTGGAAAGCATTCATGGAATGTCTTTTTGTCCCTTTTTTGAGCTTTTAATACCTTCAATAGCCAATGTGAGCAACTTTCATTCTTCATTTTATATAATGTTTGATCGGTGATACAAGTAAAACTTTTAAAAGCAACAATCTATTTTGCATTTTGCAAATAGAAAATAGGTTTGGAAAAGTATTCTAAGTAAAATACAAAGGCCTTTCCTCAAAAAAGTATTTAAATGCGAGATAAAAGTCGGTATATTTTTTATTTTATATTTGCAAGTATTGCAAATAAATCACATCTCTGATTGCTACCATAAACTTCAATCAACTATCGATGAATATCCTTTAGAGCAGTGATTCCCAACCGGTGGTTCGCGAACCCCTGGTGGTTCGCAGTGTTTGCAGAGGGGGTTCGCGAAAATAATATTGTAATGGCGGATTTTTTAAAACGCCATTAAAATCAAAAGCAAAACAAAACACAAAAATTAAAGAACACATCCACTGTAAAACAGATTGTTCGCTGCCTGTTTGTTAAGAAATCTATAATAAATTTCAATATTTTCATTTCTTTTTTCCTTATTTGNTACGAGGGTGGCTATGTAATTTTTTTTTTACAATACAATTGGAAATAAATATCAAATTAAGGCAGTTTACTACATTTACATCATTTTAGTCTTATTAATGTTTTATTTAAATGTTTTACGATTAATATAATCAATTATTCTGCAATATGAAAAATATATATTCTATCAAATTTTATTGCCTTTTTTTACCTGTCATTAACGACTACATAGGGGGTTCGTCAAATTTTTTCGGACCTTTCTTTTGGTTCGCGAGGGAAAAAAGGTTGGGAAACACTGCTTTAGAGCATAGGTTTCGAACTTGAAGCTAATTACTCCTGCGGGGATAAAACAGAGATTCTATATGGCATGAATAAATTGTAAATTCAGGTAAATTCATCTCAAGTGTCAAATAAGAATAATATGTAGATTGCTGTTACATGTATACTGTCTTATATAGATGAATAGATAGATAGATAGACAGACAACTTTATTAAAAACATTATGCTTTATTAAATTATTACATATCAGGAATTTAGACAAATACAGAAATAATAATGTAATTATTGTTTAACATTCTGATTTGTCTACATTCCTAATATGTAATAATTTATATTTGACTAGCTGACCCAACAGATGTTGTCCTGCCATAACTATGAATATTGAATTCGAAGAAGTTAATAGTTGCTGAGTTTTTTTAAATTTTCTAATGTTCCACGCAACTTTCTTAACTTTTTCTTTCATAAGAACCTTTTCCTGACAATAATAAACACAACAAAAAAAGAATTAGCGAAATTGGTCCAGCCGTTCATGCGTGATGCCATGACCAAAGGTATATAGATAATTACGGATGATAATATTCAATATGATTATGTTTATTGTATGTACAAGATGCATTTACATTTACTCTATATCCACACATGAATTTCGCAAACTAAATATTTTTAGCTGTCTTGCTTTTCTGATATTTTCCTCCTCCATAAGACATAAAATTTCCCTCATCCTTTTTAAATCATCCTTTCCATCCATTTGAATTTCGCCCCCTTTCTTTTCACCATTCTTTGTTATTCCAGGTCTCTCAAAAAAATATGTTCAAGCAGATTTAGTTCTTATTTACACAACCTTACTGGGACCTTGCCGTCCTATTCTTACTTCCCAGTCTAAATCTTGCTATTAAAATTAATTCGTGTTTTCTCTTAGCTCTTTCGTCTTTTAAATATTAGTGTGGCTTTTCCTCCCGTTCTTTCCATATTGTCCTGTATTTTTGTGCAAATTTTAAGCTTCTCATTTTTCAACCTCTTTCCATACACTTGTATCTTTTTCGAGTTTCCACCTGCAGTACTTGATTGCCCATCCTCTTTACATTAAAAAAACGTTTTCTTTCCCTTTTCCATTTTTTCCTTGTGATTTTCGTTTCTATGTTTTGAATAATTCATATATAATCTTTAATTTTTATACATTCTTTTGATATCATGTTTTCTGTTAACACTTTTTCTTCGTACTTCGAGATTCTTTAATATTCAAATATTTTATGGGCAATTTTTCTATTTTCGTTTTTTAGTGTAGAGAGTTTTTGAGTGTGTTTCTATATAATTTTAAAATCCATCTTTTTTTTGTGGTCAAAATACTTTTCTACTTGTAAACTTGTAAACTTATAGCCAATCGCGTCGCGAGACAAAACGTTGCAAAACGTGTCGTTTCATGACCTTGAGATTTTACTCCCATCGAGTCCAAAGAAGTTTCACTTCAAAAATTAATTGTTACATAAGCTAAGGGGAGTTACGAGCATTGCTCACTTTTGTTGACAAGGAGGATGGAGGTTAAATATGACTAAAATTTTGCTTACGTAATACTTGAATTATCGACTAATAGAGCAAAATATTTAGTTCGTATTAATATAAATAGAAATGGAAAATTTGCTCTGAAAATTAATGCATTGATTTTGTACGACTTAAACTTTTTTAAACTTATATCATAAAGAGACAGCCCTAATCTGATTATTCTGTAATATGTATGGGATAATTTCAGATATTAACAAATCAAGATTGAAAGCTCCTCCCTTGTGTAAAAGCTATATCATTATCGAGGTACTATTTTTAATTTTTTTTAAATAACGGAACTTATTTTCTATTTAAGAGTAGTTTTAGCTTCTGCTCGAGCGTAGTTTTCTATCTTTTATTTTCCGAATACTTGCTCTCTTTAACAGAAGTATCCTTGAACGATCGACCGAGAGAACAAGACATTTTGCTCGTTTTGATATAAATACCAATTAAAAATTTGTTTTGACAATTAAAGCATTTTTATGTGGATCAAACTTTTTTGAAACTTGTATTACAAAGCGGTAGCGTTAGTTTTGTTTATTCTGTAACATGTGGGAACTAATTTCGGAAGTTAACGTACCAAAGTTGAAAGCTCGTTCATTGTTTGAAAGCTATACCATTATCGAGATGGTTGTGGCCTATTTGTAATATTTTTTATAGTAAAGCTCTTTTCGCTATTAAGAATAATTTATATCTTTTTTTCTCCGAATACTTGCTCTCTTTAACAGTCGTATATTTGGACGATCGAGCGAATGAACAAGACATTTGAAAAGGAGATTAAAACTTTGTTTTGAAAATTAATGCATTAACTTGTATTACAAAGAAAAAGCGTTAGGTTGTCTGTTCTGTGATATTTCGGGAGTTAACTGACCAAAGTTTAAAGCTCATTCATTGTCTTAAAACTATACCTTCATTGAGTTTGTCGTAGCTTACTTTTATATTTTGTGAAGATAATAGAGCTCTTTTTGTTGTTAAGAATAGTTTTAGCTGTTGTTCGAGCGTACTTTTCTATCTTCCACTTTCCGAATACTTGCTCTTTTTAACAGTCGTATACTTGAACGGTCGGCCGAGAGAACAAGACACTGCTTATTGTAATATAAATGGCAATTAAAAATTTGTTTTGAAAATTAATGCATTAACTTTGTGTTAAGTAAGTTTTTCTAAACATGTATTACAAAAAAAGCGTTAGTTTATCTGTTCTGTTATATGTGGTGACTAATTTCAGCGGTTAATGTTAAAATTGAAAGCTTTTTCTTTGCTTGTTTTAATATACATTGCAATTGAAAATTTATTTTGATACTTAATGCATTTTTGTGTGAATTAAACTTCTTTAAGCTTGTACTACAAAGAAGAAGCGTTAGTTTGTTTATTCTGTAATAAGTGGAGACTAATTTCGGAAAGTAACTGACCAAAGTAGAAAGCTCATTCATTATTTGAAAGCTGTACCATTGTCGAGTTAGTTGTAACCTATTTTTTATATTTTTTAAATATGCTAAGGCTCTTTTTGCTGTTAAGAGTAATTTATTTAGCTTTTCTTTCGAGCGTAAGCACCAAAGAGGGTTGGGGGAGTTTTTACTTTGCTTATTTTTAATGACATGGGGGTCGGAGGGTTTTGGATGTTGATTACGTCTGAATTTATTTCTTTCTGGATTTTTCTGCAAAATTTGGTAGATTTTGTTTAAAATTAAAATCCTTTATAAGTAGTCTATGAATTTTTTTATTTGTAGACTCATGACTAACAATAAGGAAAGCTGAACAGATTTAAAAAAAAGATATATATACCAATGTTTACGTAAGCGTAGGGGTGACGAGTATTTCCAAAAATACATACGTATATAAAACCGATTTTACTAAAATTCTTTTTTGAGACAGCTTGTCATTAATCGTATAAATGTTATTAATGTAAAATAATGAGGACTTTCGTCTAATTGTTCCAGACTAACTCTTAATCAGGATAAAATAAAATGGGTCAGTGTGAAGGAGCTACAACAACAACTGTGTCTATTATACACACATATGTATTACGAAGTATGTGACTCATCATGGAACATTCCTTAGTAAGTTTTATTCATCCTTATCCGTATTTGGGTATCTATTATATTTTTTAGGTCCAGTGTTTATTAATGTTTTATCACATTTCAAATTTTAATTAAACTTTACCAAATCCTCTTTATCCCCAAGAAATACAACGAGCGCTTTTTTTTGCTCTTATAATTTTCTTTATTTTCGCGTTTGACGTCGCACTGGAAGACTGATCGCACCATTAGATTCTGCGCACTTTTTTACATTCCTACACCCATTCAATGTTTTCCATATCTTCCTCATTTCGAAGAAATTCAACGTGCGCTTTTTTGGTTATTATAATTTTCCTTATTTTCGCGTTTAGCAGTGCTGGAAAGTACTTTTTTAACATTGCACTTGAAAACTGACTACACCATTACATTCTGCGCACTTTTTTACATACCTTCACCCGTTTAAACTTTACTAAATCGTCTTTATCTGCAAGAAATTCAACGAGCGCTTTTTTTCGCTTTTATAATTTTCCTTATTTTCGCGTTTAGCAGTGCCGGAGAGTACTTTTTCGACACCGCACTTGAAAACTGATTGCACCATTAGATTCTGCGCACCTTTTTACATTCCTGCACCCTTTCAATGTTTTCCAAACCCTCTTCATTTCCAAGAGATTTAACGTGCGCTTTTTCTTGTTCTCATAATTTTCTTTTTTTTTGCGTTTAGCAGTGCCGCACGGTGCTTTTTTGCCACCGCACTTGAAAACCGATTGCACCATTACATTCTGCGTACCTTTTTACACTCCTGCACCCTTTCAATGTTTTCCAAATCCTCTTCATTTCCAAGACATTCAACGTGCGCTTTTTTTTGCTCTTATAATTTTCCTTATGACTAAGTTAAATAAAATTTATTTTTTATTTAAGTATTTAAGTTACACCTTTGTCTTTTTGTTCTTCTGCAATAGAAACTTGTATGACCTCTAGCTTTATTTCTAATGTGTACATTATTAATTAATTAATTAGTTGCATTCTTAATAATGTAATAATTCATTTTACAGGAATATTATACCACAACTCCGGGCACCGTATGCCGTAAGGCATCGATCGTTGCAGTCCTGTTTCACTCCACAACATAACAGCGTCTGAATGAAACATGAAAATGCCTTTTCCCGAATGGATGCAGAGGAATCTGTTGCCTATTACTAAAGAAAGGATTCATAGTAACTACTTGGTAGGTGACAATATTTACTAACTGAGAATAATAGACTTGCATTAATGATATCAGCATTTGGTCCTTAGGTAATGCTTAGATGAATAGAAAGGAAGTTTGGGTATTTATTTTTGAAATTATTATTGAAAGAATTTTTTTAAAAACATATAATATACTTTTAACCAATCGTAATAGTAAAGGAATATGCAAACAGGTGTTATTTCTTCACGTAAAATTTCCTTCTTGACTAAGCATCCATAAAAAATCTGGTATTATTAAAGCGTTCGTAGAAGCATATGTTTAGTTACTATAAAATTGTAATACTTACCAAAAAAAAATTTTAAATCTACACTGATCATGGATAGATAACATTTTATTTTACGTTTATTTGAATTTTTTCTTTTTATTTACATTTAATCATTCTATAGATACTATAATATATAATAAATCATTTTCTTTTACTGTAACACTTAACTCTTACACTAATCTAAACAATAGCTTAATTCAGATCTTTTCATTCTTGTTTTGGTTAGTAGGAGCAGTCAGTGATAGCATGGAAGTCAACAACAAGTGAGGACATAAGGACCACTAGGACATCAAGGGACGATTCTACCAAAATCCATTCCACTAATCTCGGTCCAATCAAGGGAAGAGGCACTATCAACACATCAAGGGATAGATCAGCAAAGTCAATTCCAATAATTTCGACCCAGTCGAGGCAAGAGGCACATCAAGGAAATGTAATTAACATTTATTTACTTTTTATATTTTTCAAAAATGATTTCTCTTTTCCATCATATTCAGAAATTGTTTCTCTTTTTCTATACTTTCAAAGCCTATTTTTTTATTCTTTACTTACCTAATTTATTTTTTCACTTACCTTTTCTTAGAATTTATACTTTTTAAAATTATTCTGTCTTATTTCTTTTAATCTACATTAAATCAAATTTTTTCTCACGTTTCCCTATATTAACTTGATTTTGATCACTTTTTAGTAATTTTTCTATGAAATTTTCTTTCGTTTAATATATTGTATCTGCATTTAGATCTTTATTTTTTTTATTTAAATTTAGTTTGCTTAAATACTATAATATATAACATATAATAAATCTTTTTGTTTTACATTAAGTCTTATTTCTTATACTAATCAGTATCTAATTTAATTCAGATGTATTCATATCTTTTTTGGTTAATAGTCATTCAGTGATGGACCTCTAAGCCAGAAAGTAGAATCATCGCGATCAGTGGAAGGCATCAGAACCACTAGGATATCAAGGACTACACTAAAGAAATCCATTCCAACAATGTCGGCTCAGTCAAGGCAGGAGGCACATCAAGGAAATGTAATTAACATTTATTTACTTTTTATATTTTTCAAAAATGATTTCTCTTTTCCATCATATTCAGAAATTGTTTCTCTTTTTCTATACTTTCAAAGCCTATTTTTTTATTCTTTACTTACCTAATTTATTTTTTCACTTACCTTTTCTTAGAATTTATACTTTTTAAAATTATTCTGTCTTATTTCTTTTAATCTACATTAAATCAAAAATTTTCTCACTTTTCCCCTGCATTAACTTGATTCTGATCGCTTTTTAGTAGTTTATCTACGAAATTTTCTTTCATTTAATATAATGTATCTGCATTTAGATCTTTATTTTCTATTTATTTACATTTACCTTTACTTATTAAATACTATAATATATCACATATAATATTTCTTTTTCTTTTACATTATGTTTTATTTCTTATACTAAACAGTATCTAATATAATTCAGATCTTTTCATTCCTTTTTTAGGTAGTAGGACCAGTCTGTCAGTGATGGATCTCGAAGCCAAAAAGTAGAATCATCACGATCAGTGGAAAACATCAGAACCACTAGGATATCAAGGACTACACTAAAGAAATCCATTCCAACAATGTCGGCTCAGTCAAGGCAGGAGGCACATCAAGGAAATGTAATTAACATTTATTTACTTTTTATATTTTTCAAAAATGATTTCTCTTTTCCATCATATTCAGAAATTGTTTCTCTTTTTCTATACTTTCAAAGCCTATTTTTTTATTCTTTACTTACCTAATTTATTTTTTCACTTACCTTTTCTTAGAATTTATACTTTTTAAAATTATTCTGTCTTATTTCTTTTAATCTACATTAAATCAAATTTTTTCTCACGTTTCCCTATATTAACTTGATTTTGATCACTTTTTAGTAATTTTTCTATGAAATTTTCTTTCGTTTAATATATTGTATCTGCATTTAGATCTT